GTTCCATTTATTGAAGAGACAGTCTTCAATAAATGGTGTTGGAAAAATTGGACAGATACATGCAAAAAAAAGAAGCCAGACCACCTTCTGATACTGTATACAAGAATAGACTCAACATGGATTAAAGACAAATTTAAGACCTGAAACCATAAAACTTCTAGAATAAAACATAGACAGTAAACTCTATGTAATTTCTTTTCAAATATATTTTCCAGGGCAAGGAAAACAAAAGAAAAAATAAACAAATGGGACTACATCAAACTAAAAAGTTTTTATACAGCCAAGGAAACCATCAACAAAACAAAAAAACAACCGACTGATTGAAGATGATATTTGCTAATGATACATCTGATAAGAGGTTAATATCCAAAATATATAAAGAACTCACACAACAAAAAAAACAAACAATCCAATTAAAAGATGGGCAGAAGACCTGAACAGATACTTCTCCAAAAAGGAAATACAGATGGCCAATAGATGTATGAAAAGATGCTCAAGGTCACTAACCGTCAGAGAAATGCAAATTAAAACCACAATGAGATGTCACCTGACACCTGTCAGAATGGCTATCATCAATAAATCAAAGAACAAGTGTTGGCAAGGGTGCGGAGAAAAGGGAACCCTCATACATTGTTGGTGGGATTGCAAATTGGTACAACAACTATGGAAAACAGTATGAAGGTTTCTCAAAAAATTAAAAATGGATCTACGTTTTGACCCAGCAATTGCACTTCTGGATATTTATCCAGAGAAAACCAAAACAGTAATTCATAAACCTCTATGCACCCCAATATTCATGGCAGCACAATTTATAATAGCCAAGATATGGATGCAACGTAAATGCCTATCAACAGACAATTGGATAAAGAAGTTATAGTTCATGTATACAATGGAATATTACTCAGCCATTAAAAAAAAATGAAATCCTACCATTTGCAAATCCTACCAATGACATGGATGGACCTAGAGGTTTTTATGCTGAGTGAAATAAGTCAGACAAAGATAAATGCCATATGATTTCACTTATATATGGAATCTAAGGAATGAAAGGAATAACCTAATCAAAAATAGACTCACAAATATAGAGGACTATTTGGTGATGGACCTGAGGGAGGGAGATTGGAGGGCTGGGATAATGGGGTGAAGGGTTAAAGAAGTACAAATTGATAGTTGATAGATGGTCACGGGGATGGGGAGCACGGCATAGGGAATGCAGTTAGCATTAATATCTTGGCTAGGTGGGAAACCAGAGGAGAGAAGGAGCAGTTAGGGGGATCTTTTTATAAACTATAAATATCTAACCAATATACTGTATACTTGAAACTAATAAAAAATAAATAAAAGGTAATGAGTTTCCAATTTTAAAAAAGAATGTAAAAATAGAATTACCATATGATCCAGCAGTTTCACTTCTGGGCATATACCCAAAAGAATTGAAAGCAGGATCTCTAGGAGGTATTTGTATTCAGCCTTCATAGCAACATTATTTACAAAAACTAAAGCATGGAAGCAAAAAGTGTCCATCAGTGGAAGAATGGATCAACAAAATGTGGTATATCCATACAATGGAATATTATTCAGCCTTAAAAAGGAAATTCTGCAGTAGTTTGCAACAGATTAACCTTGAGGACATTATGCTGAGTGAACCAATGCAATTCCAAAAAAGCAAATATCGTATGAGTCCACTTACATGAGGTTCTTAGCATAGTCAAAATCATAGAGACAGAGGGTAGAATGGTAGTTGCCACAGGCTAGGTGAGGAGAGAATGGAAAGTTATTGCTTAATGGGTATAGAGTTTCAATTTTACAGATGAAAAAAGTGATGGGGGTGGATTGGTAATGATTGCATAGCAATGCAAATGTATTCAGTACCACTGAACTATATGGTTAAAAATGGTTAAGATGATAAATATTGTGTATTGTTCTGCCATAAAAGAACTTACTGAGAGAAAAAAAACTTGTTTATTAAGATATTCTTAGAGCATTAACTTGGTTTTCTATATATGTGAAGGTTTACATGGTTAAAATTCTTTAAACAGCATTGTTTAAACAGATTATATCAAAACAATAGGAGCTGACCTTGGTTATTATCTGTAATTGGTATTTGGCCAGGCCCATCAACTATGGTGGAGACCCAATTAAATCTGTATCTTTTCTTGATTATGGAAATTTTGTTGTTTTCCTTTAGTGATTTCTCTTGATTGAACAGTCAAAATAGATGGATCGTATTTAACTTTGTGTTGTCTTTCAGTTTCCTCACCCACTGCATTGAAACAGCATTACTGTTTGCAGAGAGAGTAGGAAGAAGTACTAAATAAAACTCTGGCAGCATAATTTATTTCTAATGATCTTTTTTATGTTTTCAAAATGTGATTCCAGAACCATTCAGACCCTGAAACATTCTCCTGTTAAATCCTGTCCCAAAATATTTTAGGCAGAGGAGAGCAGTGGTATAATATTAACACCAAAGCTGGAATTTATTTTTTGAAATTTAAATGGAGCTTGATTTAAACCTAAGGATAGAATGTCTTGATAAACATCAAGAAGGAAGAGATTTCATATTTTATATTTAAAAAGGAGAATGTAAAAGAGAACACCTAAGAATTTTGGTATGATTTAGGAGTCTTTAGGTACACGGAATGCATATTTTTGCATGTTTTTTAAAATAATGCCTAAGACTCTTTAATTGCAAAATTCTGTGGAAAAATAGCATGAGGGCATTTGTATGTACAAATCTGAGATTATGCTTACATTGTGTTTTACATATGAATTTGAATAAATATTAAAAATACAAAGCAGTTTTTACTTTTTCCTTGCAATTTCTGTAGCAAGTTTTATCTTACAAAGACACTTCTATAACAGTCCTCGCAGTAAGAAAGTTCATTTTAATTTGGTTAATTCATTTTTTAGCACCTCCAAAATTCTTGCCTATATCATCAACACCCCAGCCAGAGAGACGGCAGCCACCCCAAAGACGACATTCCATTGAAAAGGAAACACCTACTAATGTGAGACAGTTTCTGCCACCATCCAAGCAGAGTTCCCGATCTCTTGTAAGTAACTAAAAGACTGCATAGTAAGTTAAGGATCAGTTAGAGGACCTAGAATCATTAGCTTTCTTCAGACGATGATTAGGAGAAAAAAATTCTAAAGGTTAGAATGAACTTTAAATAACTTTAGTATTTCTTAATAGCTAAAGAAAAACAACCCTAATAGCAACCTAAATGAAATTTGACTATTCTTTGTTCATTTAAAGTACCTTTTTTTTTTCCAGAAAATTTATCAGTGGTTGCAAGTATGAATTCTTTAAAGAAATGCCTCCTTTCTTTCAAAGGGTAATAATCCACTTAAAAATTGTTAAAACTAATTTTAAAAAAGCTTAGCAAAGCCTTGCTATAGTAGGCTATTTTATTAAGGCAGAAGTACCAGGAGAGAATTTTGATCCATTAAAAACTATTATTCATTGTTTCAAAGTATGTTTTGTGATATTAGAGCCAAAGCTGCTGTTTGGACTGGTTGATAGTTTTTGCTGTTTTCCAGAGACTTTCAGATTCATGTTGTTGCTATTCATTTCTCAGGAAAGTGGGACATAGGACACAAGGCTCTGCCTGGAAAAATAGATCCACCAGCCAAATGAGGTCTGCAAAGATTCTTTTGTAGCACCACTTGACTTTAGAAATATTTGCAGGAAGATGCAAGGCTTCAATCAGTAATTCTACTGGCATTCTCACATCTAATATTTTTTCAGATACACAAGAATAAAAATCACTAGAATATGCTTATTCATATTTTTAGGCATATCGTGATGAAGCATCATGGCTTCAAATGAAGCAATAACAGATGCCCCTCCTTCAAAGTAGAGGGAGGTAGGTATTTATTGTCAAGATTCTAAGTTTGAATGGAGCTTACAGTATTGAGAGTTGATTAGTCATCACTGTTCTCAAACAATGCAGTTAAGGAATTAATGATTTTATGGCAATTCCTGACAGGATTCCTCTTAACCATTAACTAATTGCCAAAACATTGATACGATATTTGATGAAATATCAGTGGTTTAGCAACAAAAAAACAGAACTCTAACCAGACAGGTTCAAACTTTAAAACCGGAAAACTTTTGTTAATGTGAATGAATAAATTATTGCTTTAGCAAAATGTATAGTTATTGTCACAACTTAAAAATATGTAAGACGGAGCTCCTTTGTGATTTTTTTCACAAGACCAATAATTAGGAGATTCTTCTCTTCACATGGCTTTTCCTAGAAGCCAGTTTATCATTTAGGTGCATACCTGGCTTTGTAATCATAGGACATCATTGTCGAAGTTAGACTTCAATTTTAAAATTATCAATCAATTATCAGATCAATTACAAAGGAGTTTCAGATAGTAATAGAAGTTTTGCCAAGAAAGACTATCGGTGCACATCAAGGGCCCATGAAGTATTTTTCCTAAGAAAGGATATAAATAGCGTGCGCTTCATCAGACTGTGAGTTGTTTTTTGGTGGAGAAGAGAGCAGAGTAAAACCAATCTATAATCACGGAGAAGGGTGTCAATGAAAGGCAGTGGGCAGCACCTCTGGACAAGACTGGATGGTTGATGTTCAGGTTCCACATAGAACTATGCTCCCTCCAAGTGCCTCTAGGTACCAGCTGAGACAAAATAACTTCCGGGGCAAATAAAGACTTTTCTTGCTAGCAGTTTATCTTGAGAAATCCATAAAATCACACATCTCTGTGATAGTACCCTCTAGCTTGGTAAGTATTGTTTTTAAAAGTATGATTTTTTAAAAGTATGATTTAAATTTAAAATTTTAGCTATATGTTAGAAATAAGGAATCATTTTGTGATCCCTCAACTGAAAATGGCGGAAATGTCTTCATTGTTAATCACGTATTTCTCTTGTATCTTCCTCCCTTTTCTTAGGATGTTTAAAAATGTATTTTTTTCCCATCATTTGTCAAATGAGAGTGATTGCCCACCTCAATGAAAGGCTACTCGTCATTAAGTACCTTCCACAGAGGAAGCATTTGCCTGCTTGGTGTACATTCCCATGCTCTTTCAGGCACAGCAGGCAGTTGCCTGTATCCTGCATCCGAGCAAGCCCGATTTAGGAGTCTCAGTGTTAACTTGGACAACCAAGTTAGAAAATTTTAAGTTCAAGTCTTTGCTGTGTGAACTCTAAGATTCTCTAGAAATGGCTTCATGGGTTGATTACCGCTTTATACATATGGATGCAGATGTTGCTGTGAACACACATATGGAATCTACCGTTAACATCCTTTGTGGTGTTTTTTGTTTTGTTTTTCTTTCATACTTTGTAATCACTATTTGTAGGTCACTCGTGTTCAGCATTTTTTTCTCCTTTTTTCTTCCCCCTGCCATTTTCTTTTTCCCTTATCTATTGTTCAGGTTCCTAGGATAACCAGTGTATGGCCAAGGACGCCTTTCCGACCACTTTTTTCTACCATACAAACAGCTTCTCTGCTCAGCTCTCATCCTTTTGAAGCAGCCATGTTTGGGGTAGCAGGGGCTATGTATTATCTATGTGAGAGAGCTTTTACCAGCAGGTGGAAATCCTCAAAGGTTGGCCTCTTTCTGCTGGTTGTGGGAATTATTTCACTTTCTCTGTCTCTTTGACAGTGATACCTCAACTCGTGCACTCTGCAAGAATTAACAGCTTAGATGGACACTTTGCTTCTGATCGTTGATTCCAATCTTTTGTAGGATGTATAGATCACACTATGATCTCAGTTGAGAGGAAAATAACTTTGAAAGGACAACAAACTCAAAATGCAGCATTAGATTATAGGAACCTGTGAGTGTGTGTCTCTTTAAGTGACCTAATTTTATAGGAGAAACACTGCTTCCTTTTCCACGTGCAGGGGTACTCTGAGAGCCCACGGGGTGCTTTTTTCCCAGAGCCTTGCTGCTGTCAGAGCAGTGTTTGCTACCTCTCAGGCTAGGTTGCCAAAGGGGACTCCACCTCCCATAGAGCTGTGTGATTGCCTGTGTCTCACACACCCTTCTGGGAGCTTCAAGGGGCTGTGTACCCATAGCATATGTCTCCCCTAGGCTCAGAGAGTCTTTCTCTTCCCCAGCACCTTCCATAAAGCTGCAGTTATGATCAAGGTGTTATGTGGTTTTTATGACAGCCTGTTTCTCTGTAGAAAGAGATTTTAAGGTTCTTTTTATTGATGAGGTTATTTTAAATGATTCTGCATTTTATTATTGTTTTTAAAGTTTACATACAGAATATGTTTTTTAAAGAAAGTATAATAATTTCCAAACCCAGTGAAATAAAAAGCCCTGGGAACATAGTGAAGCTCCCCCGCCCCCGGCGTACCGCATACTGCTGACCAGTGTTGGCAGCAGCCTTGCCTCTTCCACCTCATACATGGTCCTGGCTCTCTGCAGTCCCTTATTTATTAAACACATCCTTGACAAATGAATTGGCATCTAGCTTCTTTGTTATTCTTTATTGCCCATCTTGGTTTAGAAAAGAGATTCTGAATATAAATGAGAAAGAAATCCCTTTCTCTGTTTATTTGTCATGAATTATAGGATAAATCTCTGTTCTTTTTCCCATATTTAGATCAGGCCATTTTGTTTAGTACAGGTCAGGTGCAGGGATGAAATTTTAACTCCTGTCACTCCTACTGCTTTACTGAAGATCTGTCAACACTTTTATTATCAATCCTCCCCAAACAGAGATATCTGTATAATAAATCCACATATTACTTTAGGCAAAGAATTCACTTTGAGTTTTAAAGTTGAACTTGGAAAAAGAAAAGTAATTAAACTTAATAGTTGCTATTTTTATTTAAATCTGACTTTAGTTTAAAAACTCAAAAAACAATGGTTGTATAATATAATATTCAAATAAATATCTGCTACTTATTTACAAAGTTTTTGCTAATCAAGAACTCTACATAAAATATGACTATTCCCACTTCTCTGTGGCTCAGTAACCGGATTATATTATACTTTCTAATTTCTTTGCTGCCTGACTGTGACCCCTTTTGAATGGTAAATATAACCAGAATTTTCAACAGAAACTTCACAATTTTAGTGACATACGTAAAAGTAATTTCTAAAGGCACATCTGCTCCTATAGCATAGTGTAATCATTATTAAAACACTTTAAGATTTAGCTTCCCTTTCCTGAATTTGAAAGTCACAGTGAAGCACAGAGAAGCAAGAGAATTAGAGTTGTATGGATCTAGTCCTTATAGTCCGCATCTCTCCATGAAAATGACCTTAGTGCTTGCCGTAGGAGTGACTGAGCCCAGTGTCACCCTGGGGAAAGGGGCTTTTACTCACGGTTAAAACCCTGAGTGCTGTTTACATTTTGGAGCATTAGTATCTCAGCCTGTTAAGGTTTAATTTGGCTTTGGGGATGTTGACTCAATTTTTTTTTTGTCGATTAAAAAAATGAAAACTATTTTAGTAACTTTATTATTTTCTTTCTTGTTGCATTAAAGTTTTGTTGTCCTTGGGAAAGCACCAGAATTAAAACATTAGCATTTGTCTTGTTGGAGATTATTTTACTAAAGGGTAATCTGCTTGAAATATTAAAACAGAACAAAAACACAAACAAAATTCACAATTTCTTATTATATCCTATGAAGTACTAGATTTGTGTATGATTCAAAGTAGTAAATTGAAAGTACGCTTGACTAAGTAAGCCCTCGTGTGACTTAAGACCGAGAAGAGGGAAGTACAAGCTGTCAGGGTTATTACATGTGCTAGTGTACCCCTGCAAATAAAAAGGATCCCATCTACCAGAAATATCTACCAGCCCAGGCATCTGAGTTGTAAAGTTAATTAAATTGTCACTATTTACCATCTTCAGAGCTTGCACAGCAACAGATCTCACTATTAATTATCTGGTTATTTGATGGATTTGCATATTATTTTGTTCCAAGTCAGCAACTATGTCACGTAGTTAGATGTCAGAAAATGTACCACAGTCATACTCATCACTGATGAATGAAAATTACCATAGGAAAAGTTCTCATGAAATATGTTCAGTGATGGAAGGAAATTTAACTTTGGGTTGTCAATACACAGCGCAATGTACATATGACATATTATTGAATTGTATACTTGAAACCTACATAATTTTATTAACCAGTGTCACCCCAATAAATTTAATTTTTAAAAAAAGAATATGTTCAAAGCTAAGAAAAGCTGTCATTCAGATGTGTGCAGCCAAAAATACTTAACTAATGCACAGTTTTAATGGCCTAACCTTCACAGAGGCAGTGCCTTGTTCCATTTGACACTATGCTCTTTTCTCAGGGTGGAGCAAAACAGAGTAAATATTGGACATAGCAATTTAATCTTATTATTGTTTTAAAGCTTTTCCCATTAAAAGAGAAAATTATATGTTAGTGATTTATTTTTAAAAGTATTTTAGACATCTTATAGCAAGTGATATAATCTTTCTGAACAAACTATCCCCCACCCTCCAAATACTAAACTCTTCATCTTAAAAATTTATTTGCAAGATATTTTCCAAAACATTTTTAAGTATATTTAACCTTCGTTAAGTTAGCTTAACAGAGACAATTTTGTATTGATTTTTAGTAAGAATCAATAATTCTTCGAACTACTTTTTTTAGTAAATGCTAATGTTTGTCCAGTTTGCAACCTAGATTTGTTTTTGTTTTTCTCCAATTGAAAGACAGAACTGAATGTTAAAACTGCATAAACAGGCTGCATTCATAGTCATGCGCTTTCTCATTTGACTTGTTTGATTCCAGAATGCCTGTGAGCAATGCTATTGGGGGGGGGGGGCGGGTAGGGGAATTATAATGTGTTTGTACTGTGAACATTAAGTTTCAGTGTCACTACACCACAATGGCCCTTGTGAAGCCTGGCCCAGTGTGAATGCACAAGACTGTTCTGTCTTTCTATTAGATCCACCAATCAAGAGCAGGGCCAGATGGGGAGCAGATGGGCATGGGATTCTTTATTCAGTGGGATCAGTTACATCAACATCTTCCTCAGCTGTTTTTAGGGAAACCATTAATGTAAGACAGCCAACATAAATATTTGTTATGCAATTCTTCTGATTTTCTCCACATCTTTCCAATGCTGACTATGCATTCAGCAGTGGTTTAAAAGTAATAACAGGAATCTGGAGAACTGTAGGATAGCCTGTAAAGATTGCTTTTGGCTATAAACTGCACCAGTAGTTACATGTTCCAGCTCCACTTGTACCATTAAGATTTTTCAAGGTGTGCTGATGTAACTTACCACTAAATAATGCTTCTCAGTATAAACTACTAACCACCTTCTTTTGGCTATTCTGGGTACCACAAACCAGCTTTAAAAACAGTACCAATGTTGTTGATTTGCTTTTTATCTATTAGCATATAGTGTACAACACAGCACTAAGTAATGTCTATGATTTCCTAAAATCATAGGAAACGACTGACAAATTTGGCTTAGAACAACAAAATTTTTTTCAAGACACATAGCTCAACTTAATGTAATAGAGATACTTGAGGGAAACTAATTCAACAAATGTGAGGAACTTTCACTAATCGGAAACTTCAGTAGGCTACAGTGTTTCACGTGGTCCACAGTTTTCTCTCGTCTGTTGTCTTAGTGTAATTAGAAACTATGTGGTCCCCAGAGTGAGCCCGCTCTGTGTTCGTTGGGAAACTTTTCTTCTCTGAAGCTACTAACCAGGTATTTGATCTGATTTTACAATGCCAGAAAAGAGGGGTGGGAGTTTCTTATTCATGTGAAATTTTGAATTTCAGGAGGAATTCTGCTATCCAGTGGAATGCCTAGCTCTAACTGTGGAGGAAGTGATGCATATTCGTCAGGTCCTGGTGAAAGCAGAGCTGGAAAAATACCAACAATATAAAGATGTCTACACTGCCTTGAAAAAAGGAAAGGTAGAGCTGTTTAAAGTTGATTGATCAGCAGGGTTAGCAGAAGGGTCAGTCACAGGCATAGTCTCCTGAGGGAGCCATCTGCTAGCCAGATGGTGTGAACTTTTAGGGGATTTTAGGAGGTAAGAGACTTATTTTCCGGTAGACAGTACCTGTTCTGCCTTGCTCTCAAAAGGGAGTATTTTTGTTTCTCCCTTATAAATCAAAAGCTGTGAAAGGCTTAAAACAACCATAATAAATCATGGTATGCCTTCATAAAACCATGTCTACATTTAGTTGATATACTTGTAAAGGACATATATCTGAGAAACAGAGGAGACTTTCAGAACCTTTTTTAGTCTGCTTCCATGGTGGTGAGACTCTTGAGAGCTGTGGTCTTTCCTTACTTTTTAAAGTAGAATTATAATTAAAGATAGAGCCAAAGTATAATTGTCACAGAGCCAAACATAAAAACAGGTTTCTGCATTCTCTTCTTCCTCTGTTTCCTGAACTTTCCCAATGGATAAATGTAAAGCATATTTAACCATATTAATTAGGAAGTTAACTGTTGGCATTGCTTTTTTTCCTTCTTTCACATTTGTATTTTCTAGCTTTGCTTTTGTTGCCGAACCAGGAGATTTTCCTTCTTCACCTGGTCTTACACCTGTCAGTTCTGTAAGAGGTAAGATTTTTTTTATAACTGATGGCAATAGGCAAAGAAATAACAGTTAACTTCATTGTTTCATCATTTTTCTACACAGAAACAATATTAGAAATAATCTGTTATCACATTGTGTTATACTCATGGGTTAGGAATACTGATTTCTTCAAAAGAGTGGATCAAATAATTATTTCGTGTTAAACCTGGAACATGTTTTTCTGCATGTATTTCTTTTACATAACCAAGATCATTCTAATAATAATATGTCATGTTTGAACAACAACAAAAAAAATAGATGTGATTGTCATATGCCCCCTGGATAGACAAATAAGAAAATTCCAAACAGATGTAAGTTGATTCTTTTATAGGAAACAGTGCAAGAGTTAAGTTTTACAGATTGATTGTCTTTTTGGCAATCGACAGTTGTATCAATTTGTTATATTCTGATAGAAGAACCAGAGAGATTTTGCAATTTATCGTAGAAATTCACAACCATGCAGCCATTGGCTTCTTTAACTCTCCAGTTGCATCTATGGTATCATGCCAAATAATACTTCTGATTTTGTATACAGGCCGGTGTGCTCACAGTGTTGCAAAAAGGTAAGCTAAGCTTGGTGAAATTATAGCTTATGTTAATTTTAATAGATTGCCTCTTTAACAGTATTGCTCATTCTTAGTTTTATTTGGGATAATAGATGCGGCTGCCCTCCAAGCCATACTCTACTCTTCCTATTTTTTCATTGGGACCTTCTGCCTTGCAAAGAGGAGAAAGTTGTATGAGGCCAGAAAAACCCTCCACTGGCCACCATCGACCACTTCGGAGCATTGCCAGGTGAGCAAGGGGCCTAGATCTTAAGAGCATCCTTTGTAAAAGAAGAATGCTCCTTTTGAGGACTGTGGTGACATCACATGGTTTTAGCTTGAGGGATTTGGGTAGGTAGGTTGGTTGGTTGGTTGGCTGGCTTATTTTTACATAGTTTTGACTTGCACACAAATCTCCAAAACTTCTGAGATGTAACTTGTCAAGGGATAATGGTTAACTACTTGAGGGATACTTTAATCTCAGTTTATTTTTATTTCTACTTTAGAAATAATTACTTTTGTGTGTCCTTTAACAGTCAGCTTTAAATCTGCCCTTGTTTTCAGTGGAGTTGAAAACTTAAATGTAACAGTTTAATCTTTCATTCTTTAATTTTAAAAGAAAATCTCTTTAATCCTATACTTACAACAGTCTACAATAACTGGCTTACTTTCCTATTGTAAAGGCAGAAATGAAGCTTTATGCCAAGAGCTGGCAATTTAAAAGAAAAAATTTGCTTGGATATCAGTCTCTTTGCATTTAATATAGAATAAGTTTAGTGTTGGTACTAAAGAAAGATAGTGTCGGGCTAGCTTAAGTCAGACACTGGCAGGGCCAAAGAAGGTTAAAGTTTGACACACCAGCCACCCATTGGAGGGGTGGGTGGCAGACACTGGCATTAGTGCCAAATGCTGGATGGCAGCCACTCCTGCAGATTACGGTTCTGTGGACAATGAGGCAAGGAAGCTATCAGCCCAGCAGATGACTTGTGCCTAAGACTGCTATCCCTATACTTTCAACTCTCTGCGGAGACACTGCTGCTCCACGATGACTTCTGATCATGGATTGTCACCTGCGGGCTCAAGGCAATGCAAATAATAATCTGTTGTTCTTTTCTGTACTTACCTTGAACCAATGTTCTTGTTTGTTTTAATTAAAATAGTAATGAGTAGGTGAATCTTAGTTATTTCAAAAAATTAACCAAAACATTTATTATGTTCATCTAGTTAACTCTAGCTCTCTGGAATCCAAATAATCAGTTACCCAAATATAGATAATTGTTGAGGGAGAGGCATATTTGATAAATATATAAATTATAAGAAAGCTGGTTTAAAGATAATTTTTCAATATGTGTTATAAGATTGAGATAAAATTACTTAAGTTTCCAATAGTCTGACCTACCATCTACAGTTAACTAATGTTCATTAACTATGACATGGGGTTGCTGGAGAAAGAACTTGAAGTTCCTTCTGATTCTTCAGTAGGACATTAGTAACTTGTACTTCATTTCACTTTAGTTGTTAAAGTTTATAATCTCTATATATATGTGTGTATAGTAATAGTCTGAATATCCTATTTTCCAAAAATTCTGGAAGAGATGCTGAGTTTTCAGTATTTCTTAATAAAACATGTTCCTTGGTTTATTTTTTAAAAAATATTTTGAACCTCATCTCCAGTTAGAAATTCTTCTTTGGAAGAACATGACATGACTAAATCACTCACCATCCCATAATGTTTTGGCAACAAATTTACCTTTTTACACATATTTTCTTAATATTGCAGTAGAACTGTAAGTAACAATACTGAATGATTTAAACATTTTGCTTTTTTTCCAGGTTCTCCTCAAAATCTAAGTCTGTGGACAAACCAGATGAAGAACTACAGTTTCCCAAAGAATTAATGGAGGACTGGAGTACTATGGAGGTGTGTGTGGACTGCAAAAAGTTCATTTCAGAAATCATCAGTTCTAGCCGGCGTAGCCTGGTGTTGGCCAACAAAAGAGCCCGGTTAAAAAGGAAAACACAGTCATTCTACATGTCCTCACCAGGCCCCTCGGAATACTGCCCTTCAGAGAGGACTATCAATGAAATCTGAGCTGTGTGCCTTTCAGTTGCTTTTGTGTTCAGAGTCGGCATTAACACGGAGAACACTGAGCTGGACTGTCTCTCCTCGCTTGTGGTTTTTGTTAATCGGCTCGATTTGCATTAGATCAGGTTTTTGCTGCATCACATTGTTCCACAGACTGCTGCATTCATATCAATCGATAATACATGACAGGTCAGCCAATTGCTCGTTTGCACTGAGAGGACAATAGTTTGAAACCTGCTTTTGTGTATGTGTGTGGATTTGGAGACCAGAAACTTTTCCTTAGTTCAGTTCCTTACTGTTCCTCAAATGATTTTCTGACTAAGGCAAAAAGCTTCTCATGTGAGAAATCAGCCTAACAAAGATGTCGATGTTAGCACAGTTCTAAGCAGTAAGTCATATTGGCACTTCCACCGGACAATATTTCTATCTAATGCAAGTAGTGATCCAGAGCCCTGCCACCTACCAGATACCTGGAGGCGGGGCCAGACTGCTCGTCGTCTCACAGCGCAAAACCTGGAAGGATTTGCTCATACTGTCAAACTGATTTCAAAGTATTGTTGCTCTGAGATGAAAACTCTACGAGGGATTTTATGCCTGCGTTTTAGTGCGAAACATCTGAATAAGCTGTACACCCAAGTGGGTGACTATTTCCTCTGAGCTGCTGTGTTTGCCCCTGTGCAGTGGATCAGTGTCTCCTGAGTGGGTGACAGGTTTTCATTCCCTATCTTGCATGTATTATGGTTACTTGTCATTTTATAATGGAGATCTAAGAATTAAAGTTTTGTGATAGTTTCTGGACAAAGGAAGGCTAAACATTTGCCAAGAGCTGAGTGTATTTCGGTTAACGACGAAAGGGTCACGACAGCATAGGGTGCCAGCTGTTGGCCACACTGCAGGGAATGCGCTGGCGTGCATATATTTTCAACTACACTTTTCATAACTTTATGGTGTAGCCATCATGACTAAATCAAGCCACCATTTGGTACGTAAGGTCTCAAACTGAAATTTATTTATTTTTATAAATGAATTTTAAAAGAAAAAACATTACCTACTTCTTTTAAAACTAATAATTAACCTGCTGATAGGCTTTTTGGATGCTTTTTGCACAAATTTTCTTTGTAAACAACTTGAGTGAGTAGGATAGGTTTATGATGAAGGTAGGTTGGAGGGTATCATTGTAAACCTGACATTTCTCAGCTCATTTGGCTTATATCATGGGCTTTATTATTTTCATATGCTTAGAAAATGACCAACCAATCAAATTGCCATTAATGTTTGGAAAGTCAGTTAACGCACATGCACAATAATCTCCTAAAAGCTATAGAACACATCTGTAGTCGACCCTATGACAGCATTGTTTGATAAAAGGCATGCCAGTTGCATTTCATAACACATCAAAATATGGTAACATTTCTATATAAATTAACAGTAATACCTCAAAACTGCTCTGGTAGTAGTTTTTTAATGGATTGAAATTTAAAATTTAGTAAATGTCCTAAAATTACTTATGAAATAAACTTTACCAATTGACTAAAATAATGCATGTTAACAGTTTGTATTTGCATGTGAAAGTAGGCCACCAGAGAACCCTTATTTCGTATGCAAATGTTTAAATTATTTTAAAGACTCTTGTTTAAGAGCTTTAAACATTACATTGGGTGTATCTCAGTTTTAAAGTTTTCTAGGGCACTGTTTGAACTCTTATGGTGTGGAGCCACACCCTCCGAAAGCCTGGGCTTAATCCTGCAAACGACTACCAGGAAGGGTGCAAGGCAGAGGGAGTGTTATCTGTAGATGTATATTGATATGACCTAGGAGAGTGTGCTTTTTAAAATAATGACTTGTTTACCATTGTTATTAAAATGTGAGAAACTAAACCCCCAAAATGAGAATTTTATTTACGCTCACAAGGTAAATATCTAGCACATTTCAGTCTTTGGTGTCACTTCTTTATAAAGACTGATTTGAGCATTATGATCACCTCTCACCAGAGCATTAGAATGTAAATTCTTCAACAGCATTAATGAGGTTTGCCAAGTGCGTTAAAGAGGTCACATGTATGGTGTGTCTGCATGAGATCCTGTGCAGAAAGTAGTGTAAGAAAAGGGCATATGACACAGTTAAATTTATAGACATTCGATTAGCATCACTTTTTGTTGCCAAAACAATTTCTTGCATTTAACCCGTTCTTATCCATGACATGTACCCAGCACTTCAGCTAAATTAGGTAATTTCCAGAGGGTAGTTCACTAACAGCTTGTGGAGTGTAGTCTTACCATCTTTAGCCTAGTCTGACCTTAGGCCTATCTTCCTTTTCATACTACTAAAATAGCATACCTTTACAGTATTCTTCTTTGTCCTGGTTTCCAGCTATTTGGCATTACTTCTGATAGCTGGTATCAGTTGGAACCTGATGTGTCTTAGAACTTGTGTGCACACTGAGCAGTCCTCCCTGTGTGAATCCTCTCTCAGCTCAAGCTTTCCTTCTGTCCCATACCTCCTGAGGTCACCCTGTTGGGGGATCTTTGTTTCCTTCCCCGTGACTTAACTTCCGGTCAGTGTCAGAGTAGCTAAGAATGCTTGTAAATACTGTAATATATTTATTAATATTTAAAATGCATTCATTCAGTGGACAATTTAAATTAACTCTTCCAAGACAAGTAAAAATTAAATAATTGATAAGTACATCGACTTAACAGTCTTACTAGATAGAGTTCAAGTCTTAAGTCTTTCAAATTAAACAAGAAGGTTGTTATGTAGGAGTTTTTAAATGATCTTACATTTGAGATTATGTGATTAGCACCGTGCACTCATACCATGAATTTCTTAAGGCTTTTAGTTTTCTAACCATATTAATAAATATAGGACTGGATTTCAGGTGTCACAGAGGAGACATCTGAAAGTTTTAAATTATGTTGCTATTTGCTAAAGCAAATTTTTGCTAAAGCAAAGTAGCAGAAAATTTTGTACATGTAAAACTGTTGAAGAGCCATAGAGAAATGTTCATACTCACTGGACTTGTATGAAAGTCAAGTTGGTATTGGTATTCAGGGTGACATGACAGTACTAAATGTTTTCCATTAAAATCTTTTATTTTAAAATTTATCTAGGGAAAAATAAAACACCTTTGCATCATACCTTCTGCATTGAGTTTCTGTTGTGAAATGGTGATGTCTTTTGGTAACTAGCTGTCAGAAACTCCCTAGGTTGGGAAGACAGGATACTTTTATTATCAGCAGCTTATGATCACTTTGAGAAATATAATCTAACAGGGACCACACTGGAAAAATAATCAAAAATGGAGCCACCACCATAACTGCTATGTTACCAAGCAGTCACGACTCCTTTTTTACCTCAAGAGGGTAGGAAATTAAAACTCTGTAAATAGTACATAACATTTTATTATATAACAAGTCATATATATGGAGACAAATTATATGTAGAAAGATCATAAAGTTTTTGTATGTTTTATAAAGGGAATTCCTCAAGGAATATATTTCTAAAATGTCCCATGATAAGAAAATGTATTGTTATTGCACTTAAATTGCTTGAGAAAAAAATAGGAAAGTTAAACCCAGAATGAACTTAGGAAAGTTCTTATGTTAAATAACTAGAGAGCATCATTTAAGGTATTTACATATCTTAAATATTACACAATACTGAGTTTGACATTCATACACACAAGCTACTCCCTTATTTGCCAGATGTATCTTAGGATCTCCTTCGCCTGAAGTTTCTCTGTGAGATGTGTATGATGACATTTCTGTGTACGTCCAGCTGATAATCTAAATGTGCACTGACTTTCTCAGGCTAAGTCAGAGTCCTTGCCTCCTGCCTTCTATTCCAGCGATACACTTTGGAGGCCGTAAAGGAGAAATCTTTGGGTAACCTGTATTTAGCAATATCTTTCTTTTTTTCTTCTCAGCCCCAGTGGAGGAAAAGATAGATAGTTATAAGTGATCATTGTCTAGAATTTCATAAAGAGAACTTTTAAGAAAGGGCCTGATTGCACATGTGTTTAGAGACCCCAGTTCTGCCTTCTCTGCAGAATGTGCAGGTACGTGCAAACGCACACACACGTTCATTATAAAGCTCATGAAGGGTAAGCTCCTTCTTCCCTCATATCAGCCAAAGACCCATCTCCTAAAATATTTAATAGCTGAAAACCAACTTAATATAAAACTCTGCCTACACTAATTAAATGTCTAGGCGCAATTACCTAGCAGACTGAATTTACACTATTATTTCGGCTCATTCCATTGAAATGTATTTGATGTACAATTTACGTATTTAGAATAGATCTTACTGTGCAAAAAAGAAAAAAAAAATTCCACAGCTGTTTCTACATCAGAATCTTGGATTTTGAAATTCCGTTGGATTTTGATACCGGCAAAATCTGAGCCACTACAGTATTATGGAAATAAAAGGGCTTCAAAACTTATGGGCCACAGCTCTCAAAAAGTGGGCTTTGAAAAATGAGACATCAAGAAGTTGTTTTATGTCCCTGGGGCTTAAGAACCGAAGAATCATCTTGATGTTTGAACCTATGCCACGTTCAACACAACTCAGTGTTCAGATTTCCTTTGCCACCCAGAGTGTCAGACACTGTCAGATGTGTACTAGTAATGCTCTTGCAAGCTGCGCTAATGAATCTGATCCTCTGTGAACTGAAAAAGGGAAAAACGCCCTTCCCTTGTGTGTAGCCAGCAGGGAAGGACAGCCTTAAGCAAGCCTGCTCACTTGGAGTTTGCCCTTCTATATGTTCTTTTTTGTGTTGGCGTTCTCTTTTGACTAAAGGAATCAGCTGTCATTCCCTGGCCTACCTTCCCCTGGTCCTTTTCCCTAGGGTGAGCAGAGAATGTCACATCCCAACTTCCCAGGAGTAGCAGTGTTTAGGAGAGTGAGAATGCCAAAAAAGAATTGAAGATTTCTGTAGGGCTAACCTGAATATCAAGTCCCTAAGCAAACATTGTATTAACACTGAAGGAAAGCATGTGGGAGAAAGAGAAAGAAGGAACAGCAAGATTGTTTTGCACACGTAAATCTTCCAAACGATGTAGCTACTGCAGTGTAGAATCTAAACGTATAAACAGACAAAAAAAGAATAACTTCTACTTTTAAGGGGAAGAAACTTTGATTTTAGACATCCCAAAGAGAAAAGAAGCCTAAGAATATTTCAGCTTGTCCACCAAGGAAGGGAACATGATGACATTAAAAGTCCTCTGGGTCATCTTACCACAGTCAAGGTCGTTTCGAAAGTCAGATCCACAGAAGTTGGACTAAGCACTGTGGGCATAACTGGCTGGACATTGCCACCTCCAAGTGACTCTTGTGACAGCTTAAAGTTTCCTCCAGGTGTAGCCAGATCCTATGACACCTTCATCATAGGAACTGGACCTCTCTCTGTTCCAAAATGTTACTAGCAAAAACGACTTTTTAAGACTCGAGAGCTTTCATCTTAATAACTGAAATAAACTAGCCTATAATCAATGAGGCATTCTTTTCAGCAGTATACCTGGTTTCAAGTACCTGAAATGGTTCTAACTAAACTATGCTAAACAGCTATCTGACATTGGGAAAGTTCTTTAATATTTCTGGATTTCAGTTTCTTTCATTTAAAAGCAAGGGACCAACGAGGTGGTCTCTAAAGTCACTCTTTTCTTTCTAAACAATTTTTCTGTCTCGATGACAAACCTGATTATGTATATTACATGAATGCAAGAAAAAGTGTAAAATATGCTGCATTTACTAGAAAACTTGGGAGGCAAATTCAGTTTTATGAATTGCTGTAAAGAACCTGAGTCTACTTCCCAAAATTAAAAAGAAAAACTGTGGAAAGATGAGTTGACGTATATTAAAAACAGACACAAAAATAAACCCCTTTGCACCAGCCATTTTGCGTCAGCAACTTCCAGTTACCGGCGGTTCATCTCCCAGCCCCGTGCAATGGAAAGACCTTGTCTATCTTGGCAAGTCTTTGTTCCCACAGTGTGATGTGTATTCCTGTTGGAGATAATGAAAGGAAGCAAGTAGCTGTAGGGGCAACTACATATAACAGACTATTTTAATTGCATTAAAAGGAAATAAAAATATAAATAACTCCTGTCATCCAGCTTAGTCTAAGAAATAGTTACCACAGCTACAGGGAGTCCCTGATATATACGCCTCCCATGGTACTAGTGGGATCCCCAGCCAAGAGGCTTGTCTCTTTGACCCTCAATGCTGTAGACCCCATCATTGCCTGAGCTCTCTTCTCCACCAAATTTGATCTCTGCTGTTGACTTTTAGAACTGAAAGTGATCCAAGAAGACATTTGGTCCACCTGCCGGTAAATGGCAAACCCTCAGCTTTGTTTTAAAATGTCCAGGATCAGGCAGACCCTTTTCTCTGTGAAGTTTCATCATCAAACAGGCCTAATAGTTATGAAGTTCAGCCCTCATGTAGTTTATTGCCGTCGTTTACTCCCTGGTTCTGCCTCATGTGGCTCTACGCATGTGCCTACTCTCCCTTCCAAGTGGCTGCCTTAAATAGCTTCTTAATCCTCATATCTCTCTGGAACACTACCTATTCCTACATCCCACTGCACTTAGCACCTAACATCCTACTACGTCGTTCCATGAAGGTAGAGATCTTTGTCAAATTTCCTCACTGCCAATCGTGTTTCTGGAAAAATACCTGGCATGTAAGAGGTGCTCAGTAAATGTGGAGTGAATGAATGAATGAATGAATGAGCAGGTTCAATATAGAAATGAGAATAAGAAATATCAAGATGTCTTCTAAACAATTGACACAATTTGTTGTCTGTGTTCATTAACAGATAAATGCCACATAGAGCCCTGTGTTTTTCCTTTAACTCAGGAGTACAATTCAAAATCAACAAATCACTGCAGCCCTGAAGTGGCTGATTAGAAGAGAGAGTCAGCAGCTCATGCCGTTAGCATGGTTGACTTGGAGCTTGCAGAAACCCTACTTGCCAGTCTGAGTTTCCTGCCTCACTCTTGTAAATGCCACTCACTTCTGCTTCTAGAGCGCCTGGGCAGAATCGCTGTGCACAGTTCTGCCTCCCTGATCAAGCTTTTTGCCATTAAAAACTTGACGTGCAGATGTATAGAGACCCTGGAGATCTATATTCGAAGCAGCTACATAAACATACAAAGTATATTTTTCAGTACTGAGTTCATACTCATTAAATTTTACTATTTTTACAGTATGGTAGTTAACTCTTACTAGTAATCATAACATTTTGATTAAAATGTATGTGCCAACTAGGCTGAAATAAAAAAATAAAACTATTTCAAATTTTTCATATTAATACATTTGGCCCATAAAAGAAAATAAAAATGTGTAGATAAGCTTTATGATAGAAGATATTCTGTGCTGTGTGTTACTATTAGTATATAATTTAGAAAATATTTTGGTAATTTTCAGTAGCTAATAATAGCTACAAGTTATTGAGCACTTACTCTATATCAGATACTGTGCTAAGAATCCTCAGTCACATTATTTCTTTTTAATACTCAGCTCTGAAGTAGGTAATATTAACATTCCTCTTTTACAGATGGGAAACAGAAATAGCAACGGTATCATTTACCCAAGGTCAAACCACTAGCCCAGCATCAAACTTGAGGTTTCTCCCCTTCCAAGCTGTACTCATAACCATGCTGCATTTCCAGCTGCTTTTCCTAACTGCTGTGATTCTGAATCCAGCCTCAAGTTGCAAAGCATGTAATGAATACCCAGAACTGTGCATGTAAAGTAAAACATCTCATCTTGTCTCCTAAAGAACTTTAAACTTGCCAGGCAAATATATATAGGAACAGGTAAAGTCCAAGGCAATATAAACCTAGGAATTTATAGTAAGCTGTGAGCTGGTGTCAGTCAAGGACAGCTTCATAGAAGTAGATTTGAAGGTGAGTTCAGAGGAGGGAGAGGACCCAGTATATCCCCAAATACAATCTGATGACCACCTGTACTGGAGTCGTCTGGGCCAATGCCTAGGCCTTGGTTCTGACTTTTTCCAAAAAAAAAAAATGAGAACCCTCTCTAACCTTTTAATCAAGGAAGGTTATGATAGGATTATTTTTGAGTAATTCGATAAGAAGCAGAACAGAATGAAAGGGAGACCAGTTAAAAGGCA